GCTGGCTGGGGAATTCTGGGAGTTGAAGTCCACACATCTTAAAGTTGCCAAGGTTGAAAAACACTGTTTCATAGGAATGTATAGGTTGTCCAGTGTGATATAAACCCTGCATCACTTATGCATAAAACTAGAAAGCATCTTTTAATCCCATGAGCTGTGCAGCTGTGTCCATGCAACAAATTTAACCCAAGTTATCGAATTAACCCATTTCCTGAGTTTTCACAAGACAATGATCCATCAATGAAGAAGCTTCATGTGCACAATGCGCTGAGCCTCCCCCCCCCCACACAACCACCTAACCATAATTAATATTGACCAAGCTTAGCACATTGTGCAAATCATTTTTACCTGACTTGGTTAATTGTCCTGTGTGAACTCAACCAAGGGGTCAATTTAAATATGTGCAAGAAAATAGTTTTGATCTGTTTGTGCGTCTCCCCCGCATCCGATCAACCCGTCTCAAAAGTGCAACGAAACAAAAATGGATCGATGCTTTCTATGGAAAAAAAAGAGATCTGTCATGGAAGCGATGGGAGTAATGCCCTCAAAGGAGACTCTTCTGGTTCCTTTTTTCAACTTGCTTTGTTCGACCTGGGAGATAAATTACTAACGCAGGTACCTGAGGATCACGTAGCAATGTGCCTAGACAGGAAAAGAGAAGATACAGTGTTCAATGAATTAAGTGCCATTTTTTAGTTACAACCTGGATTCTGGAAGTAGATAGATCCTTCAGTTCAAAATCCATTCTGGGTGTTTTTATGACATACTTCAGTTCGCTTTGCCTGGTATTTTCTCGCGTTGGGTTCCAAGGATTTCACAGGGCTTGATCGAACACACGCAAGCAAGTCGAAGCTTTCGTGTAGGGATTTGGGGAACACACACCACGTCCAGGTTGAGCATTCGCAGGGTTTCTTGAAAGCCGTGGAGGTTTTTAGACATCTTTGCGCGAACGCAGTATAATCCTAGATTCTATGTTAGAAGCATTCTGTAGGAAAAAACAGAGAAATGAACGCCCAAAGTACTTATCTTCACTGAAATGTGGTCAGATAGGAAGAAATCCTCTTTCAGAATAGACTTTTCTGCATCTATTTGAAATGAAGTCACTTGATTTTAGGATTTATAGCGTGCCGAGAAGGGAGAGGAACCTGTCTGGAGAAATCCAATTGGATTTGCATTAGAAAACTCCACGCGAACAGCCATGTAATTAAAAAAAAGAATCACTTTCAAGTTGGAAAGACAGATGTGGGTAAATCGCAATTTCGTTCCCGGCTGGAAATTATTTATAAATGGATTGAGTTTGTGGGAGATGTAAATAAGTTAATCAAGCTGAAAAACTGCAGTCTATATATTTACATCTTGGTGGTTTGGAGCTTCGCTTACTGAGTTGTACGTTTGCTTACAGGAACCCTTTCTGGAAGCTCACCACGTTGTGGATTTGAATCGTGTTTTTGTTTAATGGAGTTTTTCAGGTGCAGATACAATCTGCCAGTTCAAGGATGGCTGCGGGGGGTGGGGGAGTCAAAAAAGTCAAGATGGTGGCTGCATCCTTGACTTTTTTGATGCTCCCCCATGCAGACAAACTCGCCTTACTCCACCCTATTTATTAGTGTTCAAATAGGTGTTTTAGTTGATCTGAAAGAGAAAAGTCCGGGGTCATATGTCTTCTTGGGAATCCTCCAAAATTTCCGTAAGAGAACAAATGAGAGGGGGGTTAGCTGTCAAGACGACTGGAGAATAAGCATGCCAACTATATTTAATGTTAAATGAATGCAGATGAAAGGACATTAAATGCCGGGCCCCACCCACTCTCTGGAGCGATGTGGTCCCTGTGTGCAGTTTAGCTCAGGAGAAATTGTGCCCAGGAGACGCAGAATGAAAGAGTTCCTGCAAAGCACGATTCTAATCTAGCGAGATAGGAGACAGCGTGGCACCAAATTGCCAACAGAATGCATTGTGCGTGTCGCCAGGGCAGAAAATCTCAAGTTCTGGTTTACCGAGAGAAGAGATTTATTTGTGTGCATCTGGACTTATTTTTGCACACTGAAGTAAAGGGGCAAACAAACCCCCAGCTCTACAACAGCCTGCTTTCCTGCCAGATGGGAAGGGGCCGGCTCCGGTAGGGAATCCGTGTCCGAAGCAGAAGCCTGTTGAGTTTGGGCACTAAGGAACAAGCGGATTCACCACCCTCCTTCGAACTCTCTCCTTTCAGCTAGAAAGAAAAACTCTTTTAAAGAAATTAAGCAGAAGTCGCCAGAGGCTTGAACCCCAGCGGGGTTTGTCATCTCCCTTCGGCTGCAGGTTTAAGATGGTGGGAGGGAAGATAATGGCACAGAGGTAGAACATCTGCCCCAAGGAACAGGAAGAAGCTAAGATCAGCAGTGGTTAACCCAGTGTTTCTCAACCTTGGCAGCTTTAAGATGGGTGGACTTCAACACCCAGAATTCCCCAGCCCCCCCTCGGTCGCCGGGGGGGTGTCGGTGGTGTTTGTGACCCCCCATTTCCCCACCTCGAGGCAGCAAAAGGGTTATACGCACAAAGATTGTTCT